ATCTTTGTTGTTGCGAAGCTAAGTTTCTCTAACTTGATAACAAATCCACTATGCTCCTGTTTCAAATGTAAACACAATGGCGCCATTAAAAATTAGGCTTAGCCGGCAATTAAACAACTTTAAAATGTTGATAATTCTAAAATATTGCGTACAGATTTAATAAAGGTATAAAAAACTTAACCAGAAGATAATAACAACATAATTCAATCATTTTAAAGCAAAAAATGTACAATTACAACATATAAGAGTAAAGATACTGAGATCACTGAGCCGGTAACAGAGTGGATATATATATAAATATATTTATATATGTTTGGCGCGGCCGGTTGCAACCAAAATACGAGGTGCAGATCTACAACGAAAAATTATCTTCAGATTTCATTTTAAAGCAGTTTTATAATTTTTTTGGAGGAAAAGAGTCTTTTATTCTGTCCTTACGTACAGATATCACGCAAAAACATCGTTAAATTGCATTCGAAAGCGGTCAAAATGGATATTTTCGTTGAAATATACTGCCTGAAACTTTTCGCGATTACAATACTTCCTTTTTACTTCGTACAAGGAAGTAAAAAGAAAAAGAATATTTTATCTACTTATATACTGAATGAGATAAATCAGGGAGAAGAAATCTAATCACTTTCATGAACTGTACATGAAAAATAAGGAAGCATTTTTTACATACTTTTTTTTCCGGCTTATAGCACATTTATTTACACTGAAATCTTCCGTTTCGATGAATGTATTTTGCACGTCCTTTACTCTGTCCGTACGTACAGAAGTCACGCAAAAAATCGTCCAGATGGATTCTGGAACGGTCAAAATGGATATATCCGTTGAAATATGATACCCGAAATTTTCCGCTGCAATTCTTCTTTTACTTTGTACAAGGAAGTAACCTTCAATCTTATTTTTGAAGCCTGATTAAAAATTCTACAGTCTACCGAAACATTAATCTACAATCTCCCGTAATTAATCTACCATATTCCTAATATCCTGTAAGAAAAGAGTTTCAGGGAATTCAATCACTTTTGACAATGTACTATAAAAAATCACCAAATTAGGCAGAAAATCCTTATCCCTCATGCATTCATTCTGCTATCTTGTTTTGATTGTTCGGATTTCTTTCCTTGATAATTTTTTGTCTAGAGCAGCGATTCTCAACCGATTATATGCGTACAACTGGTGGTACGCAAGAGGAAAGAAGGTGGTAGGCAAAGAAACAAAGCATTTTTAAACTATTAAATTCAAAAATTAAATACTCCAACATTCTGTTTAAGATTTTTCTTTAACACTCGTAAATTTATGCGATGTGAGCTTTGTTCAAGGTTAATAGCCGCTCATAGTCTTTAGCAAAGTAATCCGTCTTTATTGTCACAATTATAGCCATAGACAAAATTTCTCATGAATGACTGTTTTTAAGAGGAGTATGATAGGAATAGGCATTGCATTTTAATATGAAATAAAAAATAAGTTCCTAGAAAAAGATAATAGTATCTCATTAATTCTTTTAGAATTGATCGATTTATTAGCACGTCTACATTTTTGTCTCCACCATTTCAGGGCTGATATTGCTCTATTTTCAGTTAGAATCAATTTTTACGTCGATTTGCAAGTATTTAGTCTGTCGCTTTGTATTCCTTACTTTTCTATGCAATTTGAGAATCGTTTGTTTTTGAAGAACTCGTAATGTATTATGCGTTTAAATATTTGTGAAATATAATAAAACAAACTTAAATTTTCAAAATGGAAAAATATCTAAGTTTGACTAGGTGATGGATCCAAGACAATATATTAGCACTAAAAATACTGAAAAGAAAAGAAAAATTTTTCATAGAAAATGTAATGATAGTTATTTATCATTTGCATTTATTTGGAATGGAGATGAAATAGACCCTATTTTACGAATTTGCTATTTGCGGTAAATTGTTTTTCAATCAAAGTATGAAAGCATCGTTTCTTAGAGACATTTTGAATTTAGGAATGCCAAGTTAAAGGATAAGTCTAAAAAATATTTTAAGAGAAAATTATCGGAGTTCAAAAATAGTAAACAAGTAATAAAATGTTTTGTTCAAGTGAAAAAGCTTTAGAAGCTAGTTATCCAGTAAGCCTAAGATTTGCCAACACTGGGCAGGCTCACACTATTGGAGAAAACCTTACATTGCCAGCAGCTAAAGCTATCGTTTTAAAATTATTCAATAAGAAATCGGTTAATGAACTTAATAATATCCCGTTATCGAATAATACAATAAGTCGACGAATTCGTGAAATGGAAAATTCCATAAAAGAGATGTGTATTCAAAAAATAAAACATAGTGAATATTTCGCACTGCATTTGAATGAAAGTACTGATTTAACAAACTTTGCTCAACTGTTAGTTTACGTTGTAGGACATTAGGATTTTTTGGAAGCAGGCAATGTGAAAAATGAACAAACGCCTTCGACGCGAATCGAACCACGGACCTCTGGAACACCGGCCCAGCGTGCAGAACCACTACACCACGAAGGCACGCTAAGAGGGCGGGAGAAATACCTTATAACAAATGTTTCAAAGAAGATAAACGAATTGCCAAAGAGTGTTCATTTTATAAATCTCCTTCAAGATAGAGCAACTGCAAATGAAATTTTCAAAGTAATTGACAAGTGGATCAATCTTTACATTATGGTAAATTGGCGATTTTTTGTCGAAAATTTGCTACCATCCTGCTACAGCAACCTGCTAGTTTTGTTTTGCATGCCATTTTGTTTTCACGAAGTAAAGGCTTTTTTTTTTTCTTTTTTACTCAACATTTTTTCCAACAATCTGCTAGCCGAATTACGCTTATACTAGAACTTTTATGGAACAAAAATGCTTAATCATGACGAAGATTAGGTGCGAAATTGGGAGAAAGTGCAGAATCGCAAACTGTTGCCGCGTTTTTAAGAATTGCACATACGCAGTATCCATGTATACGTCGACCTATTTTCACTTAAAAAACATCCCAGAATTGCACAAAAATGGCATTGCGAACACTCTTGACCTTATCTATGTACACATCGACTTATTTTCGCTTAAAAAGTCAAAGAAAATTGACAAAAATCCTTCTTACTCTTGTAAAAATCGTCATACAAATAAGTGGGCGATTCTGCACTTTAGCAGCGAAATTGTTTCTAAGTGCTTATTAGCTAAAATCACGATCGAAATTTTCCAGAAAATGTCACATTACATGTCTCATGATCTCTCATTTCTCTGAGACAAAATAATCTCTGATTCGAACTGTGCACTTCTCAGATTATTGCTAAAGTCCTATCTAGTAACCTTTATCGCTTTACCAAAATGTCGCCAAACTACCTGTAACCATATTCTAAAGATTAGCAGACAAGTGTACATCTGAGAATAATATTCCTTGGAATAAGTGCATTGCTATATGCAGTGACAATATTTTATGCCAAGAGATGGGCTGTAAACATGAAACGCTTTTGTTAGATTCCGAAGTAAGGCAAAGTTTTAAATCATCTTTCTAACATCGATCAGAAATTCAAACTTTTCCTCTGTGATTCAAAATTTGAATTCAAAAAATGTTCATTTAGTAAATTATGGTTGGAGCGTTTAACATATTAGCCAATATTTTTAGAAAGTTAAATGGTGTGGTGTGTATTTAATTACGGCAAAGCACACTAGGGCTATCTGCCAAAGGGGAGGGATGCCTTTCGTGGAGGACTTTTTAAGGGAAACTGGCTCGTATACACGTTACACATGGGGAAAACCACGAAAACACCCATGCAGCCAGCCCGTTCGCGGGATTCGAACCTCGGACCGAACTACCAGTGTTCAGCGACTTTACCGCTTGGCCGCTGGTGGGTCCTAGAAAGTTAAATGAATTACATTTAGGATTAAAAGGAATGTTACTTTGCTTACCATTAGAGATAAAATAAATGTAATGATAAAATCCTCGAGCTAATAATCAAAGAACTGGATAATCATACTTTAAGTTTTTTATACCTCTTAGAAAGTTTTCTAACCGAAAATAATTTGAAAATAAAAAAAAAAAAAATCATCCAACATTAAAAAATCATTGTTTTTCATTAATAAATAATTCCAACATGCACAATTTTACTCGAGGATTATGAAAACGAAAATTGTATTAGAAATCCATTTTGTTCAAATGTACACAAAATTTTATATCCTGAAAAAAAGAACAGTTGATAGAAATTTCCTGGGATCGAACTCTAACTGAAGATTTCAAAAAGATTCTTTGGGCTGAACCGAAAACAAGAAATTAAAGGCATTTCAAATAAAACTGTTAATTTTTTATTGCCTTTTTCCTCAACCTATTGCGTGAACAAGGATTTTCTTCCATGTTATATTAGAAAAATATATACAGAACAAAATTAAAACTGGATTCTAATTTACGGCTAAATTTAAGTGAAATAAATAAAGACATAAAGACATTGATCTCTCTTAAACAGGCCCAAATTTCACACTAAATTTTAGAATTAAAGTATTATAACGTAAGCTAAATTCTTTATGCTTAATATTGAATGCAAATAGACAATAGGTTGTGCAAATGGCAAAACATGTATATCTTGTTTTACTATTTTTATTGGGAAATTGAAATAATAATCATTGTAAAATGTAGTGGTGGTATTAAAGTTTTTCAGTTTTTGTTTAGATGGCACTCGTTAGTCAAAAGGTTGAGAACCGCTGGTCTAGACTATTAAGGAGACTAAATACACCCCGAAATATGACGAAGCTATTTTCCATGGAAAAGTTACCAGAAAACCTGAAACACGTTAATTTCCATACATTAACTGACCAGAATTAACTGCACGCAGAGATATAATACGAAATACTAGCCAATGCTGCATCGTAACTATTGGCCATGCCCTGCCGTGCATACGTTGAAAGAAATCAGCTGTGCGATTTTTGATTCGATATTCAACTTTCAGAGCAGGGCATTCAGAATTTTGGACGGAAAGCATCGCGTTCTCATTTTGAGTTTTCGTCACGTGGTACCAGTTCTATCTCGTGACTGCCTGTTGGCTCTCATTCTCGGCCGCGCGTTTTGGCGCCTGACACCGTTTTGTTGCGGTGGATATTTGTACTTGTTTTCTTTCTTTTGTGGTGAAGTTTTTTTGTACGCTTTTTGATTCGGGGTGACCGTGATCGAACGAATGATGCGAATATTCTCATCTTTAACCGAATCGAACCGTCTAATGCGTAATGAAAAGCTACTAAATACGTTGTTGCCAGTTTGCATGCAATAAACTCATTAATTAAGTAGATGGCGTGATTAATCGAAAGAACTTTTGCTAACTTAACCAAAAAATGTATTTGTGTAAGGAGAACAATACGGATTTGGGAACGTAAAAATTACGCATAGTGCTGTTGTTCACATTTCATGTAAAATATGACGCAAAGAATAAATTTAAATTTTGTGTGGAGAATAATTTTCCACGGCAAATGGATAATGTCACAATGAAATGTGTAAGGTAAGTTTTGCTTATGATTATTAAGGTTAAAAATTTATGTAATTTTTTCTGTTTAAAAATTAGAGATTATGGTTCATAATTTTAAACTAAATTACATCAAATATGGCAATGCTTTTGATCAATACTGTCTAGAAATGTTACATAATATAATTAAAGCATTATCACCAAATACAATCAAGCGTATATTTGGTGAATAGATTTATGTTTTCTGTGTTTTTCTGCTAACCATTTCCATTTAGAAGACGCATTAATTAAAAATTAACTACATTTCGTATTTTACGTAATAACTTGTGTATTTCAATTAATATTTGAGTAGAACCTTCTTTTTAAAATATTTCAAGTTAAAAACTCAAAAATCAGTTCAAATTTAAAATGTTCATATTACTTTCTGTGAATGTTTTTTCGTATGTGCATTCATGATTTCTTTTAAATTTCTTGCTGGTAAAAACTACAGAAATGAACTATGAAAATACAGTTTAAAATAAGATTCTAAAGACTGTATTTTTGTATGTGCATTATGTATGATTTATTAATGAAAAACTGTATGTAAGCTTCATGTTCCCGAAATATTAATCGAAGAATATATATGTATATATTTGTGTGTAAAAGAAAATGTTCCCATCATGACAGTTATATATTACTTCTGTTTGGTAGTCTAGCATAAAAAAAAATAGTGGGCGGATAGGTTTACCATATGTTAAGAAAGATAATCCAGGACATTTCGTGAAAATTAATTTCTGTGTTAAAAACGCTACGTCTTGCAAGTTTTGAAATTTTGCGTTCCTTGGGCTTTCGCAGAGCGGAATCAAAAGGGGAATTTCCACCTCGCTCGGAATTCAGTAAAAAAGGTGTTTGTATTAATGCAATACACTGTTTTATAATTTACTTGTGAATCTCCTGCTATATTAAGTAATTAAATAATTTTTTTTATTAATTTTCTCCGAGCATTATCCTCCCCTGACAAATTTTCTGCGGATGCCGGTATTGTTGCCAGCATGATAATCAAAACGTTTTACGAAAAAATAAAACGAAGCGATAATTTTAATGAGCTTTATTTCCATAAAATATCGAAAGCTAGGTTGCGTATATTTTTCAGTAGGTCTTTTGTGAAGATGTAGAATTGTAGTTGATAATGAGAGTTACTAATGAAATTATCCACGGAGATCTGAAAATTATTTTATTCAAAGATATCTGCATTCAAATGAATGCATTCTTAAAGTTTCGTTGGATTATACTTCTTCTCATTCTTCTATAAATTATTTTTTTAATTAATTTTTCTATCTGGGTTTATAAATCAATTGCAGTTTTAAGAATTATTTAAAGATTAATTAAACTTTTTGAGTAGTAGTTTCCTGCCTTAGAGTAACAACTTATTTGACAGAAAATATGGTACGTAAAATTGTTCAGATTTCTGCATTACACTGTTTTAAAGTTAAAAATCAAATAAATAAATAAATAAAAAAAAAAAAAAATCTGAAGGCTTTCAGATTTTACATTACGCCCAAAGGGGCTTTTTTTTTAAAAAAAATATTTTGTGTGTTACTTTTATTTATTAAATATAATGTTCTTCGCACTTAAAACATAAAATTCAATTCAACAGCAATATCGCAAAATATTTTTTAAATGAGCATTATTTTTAGAATTTACGATGCACAGTCTCGCGCGCTAGAGATAATTTTTTTTTTTTCTTTTCCGTTCATTCATGCCATTCCTCGTTTGAAATCTTGAGTTTATTAATCAAAATTTCTTTAATGTCTGACAAAATATGAAATAGATAATAAAACAAATTTCAAATTAGGGCCCATATTCAGTGGAAAATTCAAAATTTGATGGTTCTAGGTATCGTTGTTTTATCACAATGCGAGAAACATATATTTATGATGATTCTTCATTATTTAATTTCTATAAATATAAAACTGGGATTTAATATTTGGTGGCAACAGTTTGAAAAGTGAAACAACGCTTGTAGTGAATCAACGCAAAATGCGAAAACAAAATTAATAGACCTTCTTGTAACGCCCTTTGGGCTAAAAAATTCTGATGAAGCTTGTTTAAATTACAGTTGAGACTTACCGGAAATGGGAGTATTCAAAGGTTGTGTAAGCAGTAATTCCTCGAATTCTGTGAATTGTACGGTGCATTCATAACCTACGCCGGGGGTCGGCAACCTTTAAATAACGTTGCAAAGTCACTCAGCGTGCCTACCAAATTTGTATAAACATCAGCCACTGAAACGCTTCAGTTTGCTTGTCTGTTTAAATTGTTTCCACGTTAATTATCTTCACTATTTTAACGTATATAAGAACAAATTTAAAAAAAAAAAAAAATTGTTTTGCAAAACTTAAGTTACAATAATACATGGTTTCGAAAATGTGTTATGAAGTTCAGTATTATTATTTTGAGCATGTTGTTTCGAAAACTGTGACCGCATTGTTGTGAAATGTGTATTGCGAATTTACAGAGTTATTATTTTAAGCATCTGGAAATGAAAAATATACAAAGACTTAAACAAATAAATTTAGTCAATATATCATATAGTTATAGAATGATATAAAATTGAGGAGGACAGATATTTTTTATAAAAACGAAATTTCCATATAACTATCTTCAAATGTTTTGCTTTTCTCCAATTAATGTAGTTTTATTCGTGATTTAGTATTGCTTTCCCAAAAATGTAGCCCCCCAAAACATTTTTGCCCACCAGCGGCCGAACGGTAAAGTCTCTGAACACCAGTAGTTCGACCTGCGCTCGATTTAGTTTTTATTTCGTATTGTAAGAGAATCCTGCAAGAATTATAGATCCCTTAGATAAACGTTCTTTGCCATTCACGGAAACAGGTTTGTACATTTTTTTCCTCTTCTTTTCGATTTCCATTTATCCAAAGGAAATTAGTTTTGATATAAGTTCTACAATTTGCTCTACTTTGAATGTTCTACTTTAAATGCCTATGAATTTGTTCTACTTTGTACTACTACGACTACATGCCTTGGCAAAATGTGTTGAACATTATGTCGTTTAGCCTTTTTAATTTAGATTTTGGTTTATTATTTATTCATTGTTGCTCCAGCTGCATTTAAAGACTTAACAATTGATTTCTACGTCGGCGGATTTTTTTCATTTTAGAAACAATGCGTACCTTTTTCGGGTATTTCTTCTTTTCATGTGAAAAGAATATATTAAGGATTAATAATTTTGTTTATTTTGTATAGACATTTAATACCATGCATTTTTCAAGGTTTTTGAATTATGGAGTTGGAATATTTCGCTTTGGAAAGCGCAAAACATATCCTTCAAACCACAGCTTCTTTACGTGCGACATTTTGAAAGAAGAATAAATTTTAAAGTAGCTGACGATATTTCTCATTGCAAATAATAAGATGTCGTCAGAAATTTTTATTCCAAAACATTTGCTTTTTAAAATTCTTTATCGAAATCGTTCCAAAAATGTGTAATCATTCTCAGTAACATATACTGCATATTGACAAATAATATTTCAGTATTTTTCGTTTTTATCACTCAGTAGCACCAAGGTATCATTTGATCGCGTTGAAATTTTTATTCTTTTGTTATTAATGTACGAAAACGTTATTCTTAACTGTAAACACTTATTTACATAACACAAGTTTTTTAAATTTTCTATAACATTGGATATACAAAAATTAAGTGCTAGGGCGGTTAAAAGATGTTATGCACCATTTGCGCAAGTACTACTAAAATGCTTTAGGTAATATATCATTAAATTTTCGGTCCACTAAGCTTGTGCAGTAACATCATCCCCTGTTCTTGGTTATTGGAGTGTCTTCGGAATCGGTTGGCTCTTCAACATTTTTATGCAGTAAAAAACTTGTTTAACTCCAAAAGAAATTTTTTTCTTTCACAGTTTTTTTGTTCTCCCAATGCGGGTGTAGGTACACCTGAATAATAAAGCCATTCAGTGAAGTAATGTTTAACATTTTGCAAAACTGGCCGTACGTCATTCCGTTTGTTGTATATACCCGCACTATATGCATCAACTTCTGATTTTGTCCCATAGTAGTCATTAATCATAGTTGGTTTTGGTGGTTGAATATTCTCAATTTCAGGAGACAAATGCATAGTGCTAAGAACAGCTGCAATTTTTTTTTCTCGAGCAATACAATACAACTATCACTGACTTTTCAAATCTAAATTGAGTTGATTTCTTTTCTCCTGAAGTTTAGCAGATTTCTTTGCTTCTAATGAAGAAGGATCTGTACCTATTTACCCTCAAAATCGATAGTCTTGACTAAATAAAATCTACGCCAAACACAAGTTGTTGCTTTGCTAATTTTAACTGAGTTGATTTCTCTTTAATTGGGTGTGATAGACTCATGAGTTAACTTGTTGCGATTCTAACCAAATGTTTCAGTTACTTCTTGTTCAAATCTTTGATTTCTCTTTAATTGGTGTGACAGACTCATCTGTTTTCCAATATACTTTTTAGTAGACTAGTAACTTATACAGAAAATATTGTAGGTGATTACTAATGTGGTTTCTGCAAAGGAACATCTACAGCAGAACAAATCGTTAATATTAGGCAAATTTTGGAAAAAAGTAATGAATATGGCATTTGCAATGCACCACCGTTTTGTTGATTTTAAGATGCCTACGATTCAGTAAACAGAAAATATTGAAGAACTGAAGTTATGAGAGAATTTGCAATACCTGAAAAACTTATAAATTTGGTCACCATTACTTTTACTGAGACAAAACTTGGGGTTAAAATCCAGAATATCTTTCTGAGCCTATTGTTGTTTCAAATGGGCTCAGACAGGGTGATGCACTGGCCTGCTTGCTTTTTAACCTTGCCCTCCAAAAAATCATAAAAGACTCCAATATAATTACTCGTGGAACAATCTTTAACAAGTCTGTTCAGATTTTTGCGTTTGCTGACAATATTGACATAGTCGCACGCACTCCCGAGTCTTTTAGAGAGGCTTTTACATCTCTAGAGGCTACAGCCAGCAAAATGCATCTAGCA